AGGGGTTCAGGGGTTTCAGGGTTCTCGGTTTCTTCGGATTGGGGTCTACGCTTATGAGTCTAAAGTTTCGGAATGCTCGGGGATTTCGATCTATGGTGTAGGTTGTCAGGGGTTTCGGGTTCAGAAGCTATGTGGCTCCGTGTGCATCTATAGAACCCGACTATCCCCGCGCCCGCTGCCAAGCATCTGCAAAGGCGACAGTTTCTCACCGGCCTCGTCAGAACCCTCATGACCATGAGTCATCAATTGAACAATTGTCATGGGCCACGCCCTTTGGGGCAAACCCAAAACCCTACCAGGAGTAGCCTTTTATACCCTTTTACAAGGAAAATGTACAATATTTGCTGACATACTTATAGCTTTGTTTCAGGTACAAGATTGCTCTAAACCCCATAAGCCCTAAACCCTCAAACTCGTAAGCATCGAACACAAGCCCAGCACGCAGCGCCTTGTTGATGATCTCTTTTGACCGACCCGTTAGCACGAGGCCCTGGGAACTGGAGATTTTCTCGGGGCTGAGGGTTAAGAGCTTAGGGTTTAGGGCTTGTGTGGGTTTAGTGCTTGGGTGGGTTTAGGGGTCCATCACCTAGCATTTGGGATCGTGAAATGTTGGAATGGACTTTGGGAATCATTCAAACTGAAAGGCAAACAGTTCGAATTCCTGAACCCGATCCCAATACCTCACACTTACCTTGACTCAGAACAAGAAACTCTAGATGGTGGAAGAGATGCCCCTTAGTTAAGTACTGGGCTCTCTGCAAACCGAAAACTTGAAACCCAAAAATGCTTCAACTCTGAACCCTACCCAAAGGCTCCTATGTAGTACCTTTTCTGAGGTAGTAATACTCGAATCCACTGTAACTAACCCAAAAAGGAACTATCTTAGAGCAGTCTACGCCTTAATCCTAAACTCCCGGAGAAGCCGAAGCCTGCCTCAGGCGTGAGCATTGCAAGGTCACCGGTCCGTAGCCAGCCCTCACCTCGGACGGCATCGCCCTGAACCCTAAAAGCCCTAAAACCGGAAAAACAAAAAAACTAAAACCTAAAAACCCTAAACCCTAAAAACCCGAAACTCCAAAAGCCCTTAGGAGGATAAAGGTGTACGAGGGAGTGGACGACGGAATCGGAGTGAGCCCCTAAAAGAGGGTTTGTTGGCTTGTGCTTCGTATTCTCCAGAACATTCCCCCATGATGCCCATGCTCCCCAACTGTCAGCAGCTGGTCCTAAACCCTAAACCCTAAACCCTAAACCCTAAACCCCAAACCCCAAAAACCTGAGCCAAGTCCAGGCCGGCAAGGGCTCAAGGAATTACTCATAAGGGCTTCAGGCATTCGGGCTTGCCCATGTTTAGGGTTTAGGGTTTAGGGTTTAGGGTTTAGGGTTTAGGGTTTAGGGTTTAGGGTTTAGGGTTTAGGGTTTAGGGTTTAGGGGTCTTGGTAGCCCAGTAACGATACCATGATAAGGGCACCTTTTTGGGGGTTGGTTACTTGATAAGGGTAGCCAGAACCAAAAAAAGGGGTACAGGGCACCACTGGGTTTTTTCCATGAATTTCAGGGGTTTAGGGTTTAGGGTTGAGGGTTTAGGGTTCAGGGTTCAGGGTTTAGGGTTTAGGGTTTAGGGTTAAGGCACAGACATGTCCCCAGATTCCCTATGGAGAACTCGCAAGGGTGATGTTTTGGAGCCCAGAGTGGCAGTCTAGGAACTCTGAATCGTCTTAAACCCCAATCCCTAAACCCTAAACCCTAAACCCTAAACCCTAAACCCTAAACTCCAAACCCCTAAAACCCTAAACCCAGGACCCTGAAGCCTAATCCCTGTGGCTGTTGGGCCGTTGGGGGTATGGGCACAATGTCTCGGATGGCTTTGGGCTTTGCATTCGATGCCCTGGAAGCATGTTGGGACTCAGGTCTACTTAGGGGTTCTTGCGTGGTTTAGGGTTTCGGGTTTAGGGTTTAGGGTTTAGGGCTTCCCCTAAAGGCTCCGCTGCAGTAAAATTTTCATGGTTACGTAAGACAGGGGTTCCAATACCCTCTCTAGAGGGACCTTCTCTCCCATGGACCATCTTAAGGGACCTGCAGGGCAACCCCCCCCCCCCCCCCCTCCCCCGGCCCCAACATAGCGTCTGATCTGAGGCATTCTGCTTCAACCCCAAACCCTAAACCCTAAACCCTAAACCCTAAACCCTAAACCCTAAACCCTAAACCCCACATCCCAAAAGGCTAAAATCCCTAGGAACCAGCCGGAAGCCGGGGTGCAGAAGGCCTGAGCATGCGGGCGAGATCCTAAACCCCTAAGCCAAAAGGCATTCAGATTGGAGGTTCACGTAATTGGGGTTTGGGGTCAGGGCCTGGGGTGTCGGGTTTGGGTTTGGGGATCCCAGTGCCCCTATTGCGAACCCAAACCCTATAAGAGAAGCGGGTCTAGTACTTTAGTAGCAGAAACGAGGTACCTCAAGCCCTGTAGCTTGAAACTATTCGAACGTGAAAGAGAAACTCCTCGAAACTTTTCTCGAAACTTCCACGGACCTGAACCCTTGAAAAATATCAATAGACCTAAACCCTAAACCCTATAAACCCTAAACCCTAAACCCTAAACCCTAATGCAGGGTTCAGGGGTCTTCGGCCTCAAGGATGGCCTGCTTTCTTGGAGGTTCCCTCAACCCTAAACCCCCAACCCAGGAGGGGAGTTCGGGCCTTTAAGGTTTAGGGTTCATGCAAGATGCCAGAACTATTGGGTCGATGTGGGTAGTTCTCTGAATTAATGCTCAGGGTTTGTTGGGTTTAGGGTTCAGGGCAATTCTCTGAATCCACTGACCCTGGGCGGCGTGTTGGAACCACCAGCCCACCCCACCCCCCCCCTCCCCCTGCCCCTCCCCCCCCCCCAACGCAAAGCTGCAAGCAGCTTTAGAGGTTTTTTACGTGTTTTGTCTTGTTCTCTTGTGAGCCCCCCCCCCCCTCTCCGGAAAAAAGCCTAACCCCTGTTTGTTGTCGGTTCGGTGCACGGCAGGCTGCGGGCGACAGCAGCCGTACAATATGACCGGGACCCTATGTAGAGAACTACCCCTACACACATATTGGCAGAAGGCTGTAAGTAACTGTCAGGCCCACATATCGAAGCTCTGAATATCAGGGCCGCGAGCTTACAAAAAGAAGGGCTTGGACCCCAAATCCTAAACCCGAAGCCCTATAAACCCGAAACCCTAAACCCTAAACCCTAAACCCTAAACCCTAAACCCTAAACCCTGTCCATGCCCCGGCTGAAGAGGCCTCCGGGTTCGGATCCTCGCAGTGACGGCACTCATAGCCGCGCATGACGCCTGTAGTTTGAGGGGTTTAGGGTTTAGGGTTTAGGGTTTAGGGTTTAGGGTTTAGGGTTTAGGGTTTACGGTGAGGTCGTTTAGAGTTTGAGGTTCTTAGGGACTGATAGAGTTTAGGGCTTGGCCTTTCGGGTTTTGGGTGCTAAGGTCTAGGGTTTAGGGTTCGGGTTGTCGTGTAGTGTTTTGGGTTCTCTTAGCAGCCCAGCAACCATCTTACAACAAGGGCACGCTTCTCCGTCGGTTACTTGAAAAGCGAACCTTGAACCCCTAACCCTAAACCCTAAAACCCTAAACCCCAAACCCTAAACCCTAAACCCTAAACCCTAAACCCTAAACCCTGAACTTTAAAACCCAAAAAAAGAATGAGGGTACCTCTGGGCTACCAAGTTCTCGGGCTTCAGGGTTTTAAGGGTTAGACTTTATACGAAACCCTAAACCCTAAACCCTAAACCCTAAACCCCAAACCCTAAACCCTAAACCCTAAACCTATAGGGCTCATGGGGTTTAGTGTCTCGGGTTCTATCAAGGAGGTTTGGCAGGCTTTTGGGGAAAGGTATAGGGGTTCTCGGTTTTGGAAGTCTATACAGGGCGCTTTTTCAAGCATTTGTAGTTGGGTGTCTTGGGTTGATGTTTTCAACGGTCACACATTGAGAAGTCGGGTGGCACCCTGAATGCTAACACTACAGAAGTGCGGTTTGCTCCTAAACCTTAAACCCTAAACCCTAAACCCTAAACCCGGGGAGGCTGCAAGGTGTGGTGCACAGCTGCTTGAATACTTCGATTTGTGGTGGTTGAGCCTTAAGCTTTAAACACGGAACTCTAAACTTGAAAGGGTCCAAAGCTACCTGCCGCGAAGGCCTCGGTCCCAACTACCCTAAACCCTAAACCCTAAACCCTAAACCCTAAACCCTAAACCCTCAACCCTCAACCCTAAACCCTAAACCCTAAACCCGATGAACCAATGGACTTTAGATGGGCACACTAAGGCGTGATCACCGATTGTTGATGTGCTTCTCTGGTGTTGTCATTGGACGAGATGCCAAAGTTTGGGATCCTAAGTATGGGGCCTTCATTTGGGCCCCTCGTTACATAACCTTTATATGTACACTATATTTTACAAGGGCCCATACTTCGGATCCCTGTAAACAAGGGTAAGGGACCATGCCAAGGGCCTCAGTTCCAAGCTTAGACACAGGGTTCCTCTACACGCGCAAATGGGGCTTAGGGGGCGATTTGGAGTTGAGGATAACTACGCTCCTTCCGGCCGCCCCAAAATTGTGGCAGTACTGACACATCTTGCGATGAGTTTGTGTAAACCCCATTTGCCACTATGTGGTGGGGGGGGGGGGGGGGGTGCTCTTCCCTGGAATTCAGGGTGACAACAATGTGCATCTCTGGGGTTGGGCCAAGGGTTCGAGAGGCAAACCAGTAAGCCATGGACCTTCAGCCCCCTGTTTACAAGCTCACATGAGCCGCAGCATCAACGTTACCAAGGGGCGCGAGGTAAAGCAACAAAGCAATGAGTAAACCAGGCGGTCGCACTTCTGAATAACAGAGGCGCTTGCCTGAGCTGCCTGAACCTTCGTAAATTTCAAGGCTGTCCACCGCCAGTACGCCGATATAAGGGCGTGTCACGTGTGGGGGGACGTTGCACACTAAGAAGGGGGCCTTATTAAGCCCCCTTCATAGGCTCACGTTTGTCTCATGAGGGGGTTCAGGAGGGAGAGGGGCTTCAGGGGGCACTTCGAACTCCATAGCCGCCGATGCGGCAACATGCCCCCTCCCTAACTCCGCCGGCCCATTCCCTACCTTGCGGTTCAAACATCGGTTCCATACCATATAGGTCACCGCATGAGCCAAGAAGAAGTAGATGACGACGCCATAGTAGGGGATGCCCTGGTTGAGGCTCACTTGAAAGACGCCATAGACACAGGCCGCGGGAAGTGGGGAAAAGGCGCATGCGCATGTGGCGAGGAACTCCCGGCAGAAGCTCGGTTGCCGATCGCTCCACCGGCGAGAGGCCACCAGCGCACAGCGGATGAAGACCTGTGGTTTCCAAGCATCCGGCAGTGAAACATCAGGTTAGGTGCACATACTCCGACTAGCAGCATAGAAAAGACTAGGCTAGAACAACCGTAAAAATTCGCGTGAAACTCTGCCTTTTTTGCTGTTTGAGGCTCTGGGGCGCAACAAAGCCACCCAACCAGGGTCAACAACGAGAGCTCGAGCACGGTCTTGTAGTCTTCCACCAGAATGTTGGCGACGATCCGGTCCATGTTCGACCAACAGAATGGACAACACAGCATCAGCATCCAGGAGTATGTAAAGGCATTGCCTATAGTTCATGGTTGGGAGAATCATAAAAAATGAAAACTTTATTCCTTGTTGGGTTTAAGTACCCTTAAAAATGTAAAAATGGTACTCAACTATGACTAAGTTGCTGCCAAGTTGATCCACGAGAGCCGCAGATGCTGTGTTGGACACGCTGTCTTCGAAAGTTTCGACGGAGCCAAACCACACGCAAATGCAACGTTGCCTTACTTCTCACAGAACCAGAAAACGATGGAAGGTTTAGCGAATCTTACGAAATTATGAAGCCGACTGAACCCTAACCCTAAACTACTATTTGCTAAAGAACCCCCCCCCCCCCGCCTCCCAGAAAAACAAGACTCTTCTTCCCTATCAGGGCAATATTGTGATCATTCTCACTTATGCTTTGAGGGGTTCTTAAGCAAACAGCAGCAAAACCCAAGAACAAAGGGACAGCCATTCCTACCAAAATAAAGGAGGCCCACTAAAACCTGACCCTAACCCTAAACCCTAAACCCTAAACTTTAAACCCTAAACCCTAAACCCCTAAACCCTAAACCCCCATAGACCCTGAGATAAAGTTGCAGAAGCTCGCGGTCGCAAAGCTGGATCGGCTCTCCGCTTTTCGGGTGAACATGGCCGTTTTCGCAGCACCAGCAGCTGCCTCATGTTATTTTCCGGGTTTAGGGTTTAGGGTTTAGGGTTTAGGGATAAGGGTTGTTGGGATGTTCCCCCTTCTACTAATAGTCCTTGAAAGAACGTATAATAGGGGTTACCGTAATCCCTCAGCGCCCGAGGCCACAAACCCCAAAAATGTGCATACTTTCAGTTCTATAGGGGATTCTAGTATCCCCAAAAAGTGCCAAGTGTGCTCACTCAGGTACAAAGATCCCGATTATGGACTGTTCGTATAAGGGGGAACATCCCAAGGTTTAGGGTGAGAACAGCGATTGCAGAGTTTCGGCTGGTAATGGTGTCCCTATGTTGAGAGCTGTCAGGGTTTAGGGTTTAGGGTTTAGGGTTTAGGGTTTAGGGTTTAGGGTTTAGGGTTTAGGGTTTAGGGTTTAGGGTTTACGGTTTAAAGGGTCTCGGCGGAATTTAACTTGGCACAGAGTAAGACATGGAGGTGACGGCATGGTCCGGAATTCAGGGTGCAAGTATCGGGATCTCTGCGCCTGCGCAGAGAAAATGGCGAGCTGCTTTACCCCTAATCCCTAAACCCTAAACCCTAAACCCTAAACCCTAAACCCTAAATCCTAAACCCTAAACAGTAAACCCTAAACCCTAAACCCTAAACCCTAAACCCTAAACCCTAACCCTTAACCCCAAACCCTAAACCCTAAACCCTAGGAGGCCGAGATGCACTTGTCCATGCGGAAGTGCTTCAGGGCGCTCTCCACTTGCTTCAGGTCCCGGAAGAAGCCCCGCATGGCCAAGGAAGCCCAGAAGGTCACGACAATCACGGTGAGAACGATCAGCCCCCATACCTTGGTAGCCCAAGAACCCTAAACCCAAAACCCAAAACCCTAAACCCTAAACCCTTTCTTGGGGGTTGGTTACTTTAAAAGGGAACCTTGAAGCCCAACACAAAAAAAGGGGAAAAAGCGTACTGCTGGGCTACGAAGATGCGATGAGCTTGTTCTCGGCAGGCAGCGCAGCCACGACCATGGAGAAGGTCGCGACGGTCAGCAGCGCGATGCACGAGCCGGGAGCCTTAGTTGATTCATAAGCCCCCCAAAAAAGTCTACACTTTCAGTTCTATAGGGGATTATAGTATTCCAAAAAGTGTAAAGTGTCTTCACTCAGCTGCTTGGGAGCTAAAGCCGTCGGCCGCACAAGGACCTGCGCTTGCGGATCGTCCTCGTGGCTCTTGATGAATGCTGCCAACCTGAGTAGCCCAGTAAACCATGTTGCAGTTAAGAACACCTCTTTTTTGGGTTGGCTACTTTATAAGGGGACCTTGAACAAAAAAAGGGTGAAGAGTACCACAGGGCTACCAAGCAACTCATAGACGCACCAGAGGCGCTCAGCCCAGCTTCTGTCAAACATGACCAAGATTGAGCCTGTGCTGCACTTGGGTATAGTTCACTACATTGGGGTCCCTTTTGGGGGTCCTATGTATGGTACGGCACCGTAAGGGAAGGACCCTAAAAGGGACCCCAACCTAGAGAAGATGACTTTCTGATTCCTCGGCATAGACAAAAACAAAGGAAGTCAAACAGGTTATGTCCAAAATTCCCCTAAGGTGCTGGAGTGCTTCAAGATGCCTCCCATGTTGAAAATGCCTGGTTCGTTGGGGCGTAGGGGCACTTCTGATGCTGCCATGTTCTTGGTTTAGAGCTGAGGGTGGTCGGTTTAGGGTTTGGTGTTTAAGGTTTAGTGTTTGGGTTTAAGTGTTTAGGGTTTAGTGTTTAGGGCTTAGGGCTTAGGGCGCGTCTTACAGCCAAAAGAAATGGAACACAATAGTAGCCTCGATACCCTCTGCCTTCAGAGCAGGGTCCTGCTGATGGATGCAGATGCGGTCCACAAAGACCTGTGCATTTCCCAACGGCTTCCAAAAATAGGGGCACCCTTTTGGGGGATCCCTTTAAGAGGATTTTATTCTATGTGGGGTAGAAATGGGGTACCCCTTCTTGGGGAAACACCCAAGTAGGGTACCCCGACTATACCCAAAATACACCAGTCTCAGAAATCGCCTTTATAAGGGACTCCCCCCCCCCCCCCCCCCCCGCAAAAAAAAAAAGGAACCTAAACCCTAAGCCGTAAAAAGCCCCACAAAAAAAAAAAAACCTAAACCCTAAGCCCTCAAAAGCCCTGATTTTGGGAACCCCCCCCCCCCCCCCACCTGAGTCTGTGGCCTCCAGAGGAGCAGGACCAAGATGAAGCTCACAAGGCCGCTTACAGCGCAACATGGTAGAAAAGGCCCATTGTGCTGCACCCCGGGCCTGATGGGTTTAGGGTTTAGGGTTTAGGGTTTAGGGTTTAGGGTTTAGGGTTTAGGGTTTAGGGTTTCCCTTTTTGGGTACCCTAAATAAGAGGGGCCGCCTTATAACAAGGACCCCCAAAAGGACCATAATTTAGAGAAATCAGCGTATGGGCATATCATGGGCGAAATCCGTCCTTAAGGGACCACATGAACCCAAAATAAGGTTTTATACCTACTAGTATCAAGGGTTCCCCTACTGCCCCCCGCTATACTGCCCCCCCTAGGTTCCAATTAGGCTTAATTGTCCCAAAATGGCCGTAGTTATGGGGGGGGGAACCTAGGGGGGGGGGGGGGTAGTTTAGAGGGGGGTTGTAACCCTAAACCCTAAATCCTAAACCCTAAACTATAGGGGAACCCATGAGTTTAGGATGTTAACCCCAGGCTTGTGCAGCATCGAGACCCAAGAGTAGCCCTAGGACTAGAAAGGGCGCCTCTTTTTTGGTTTAAAGGGGCTTATAAGGGAACCTAAACCCTGGGAATAAGGGCCTACTCCGGGTCCTGGGCATGTCTGTGCTTTAAAACAGAGTCCACTTGCAATAAACAAGCTTGCCGCCGGAACTGGAACTAGATCATGCGTGTCAGGCAAGGTGAAGCCTGAACACCGAACCCTAAAGCCCTAAACCCTACCCGCCACGATGCCCCGAAAGATCTTCACATGCAAAGGGCAGCCGACGACCATGTAACAGTCAGGGCTTTAGGCTTGGGGGTTTAGGGTACCCTAAACCCTAACCTAGGCCCTAACCCCTAAACCCCAAACCCCAAACCCTAAACCCTAAACCCTAAACCCTCCATCCCAAAGGCTGAACCAAACAGGCTCCAAGTCAGGGGACTGTTGGAGCCAGTCCATGTCGTAGCTTGGCAAGACCTGCAAGCCCACGAGGAGCATCACTGTCAGGGCCACCAGCACCTGCAGTCTAGCAACGACCTGAAAGCTCTAAAGTAGCTCCTTATTCTTGGGTTAGCTATACGGGTGGCCGCTGTAACGGAAACTAAACAAAAAAGTAGTAACGGAAACAAACGGCAAAATGTAGCGGAAAGCAAAAAAATGTAACGGAAACAACGGCCCGGCGAGTCGAAACAATGCGCGGCTGTAACGGAAACCAAGCAAAACTGCAACGGAAACCAAAAAGAGATGTAACCGAAATCACGGAAAACTTAAACCGAAATCTACAAAAACCGGCTACGGAAAGGCGCACCAGAAGGGCACGGCTCTTTTTCTTCCTGGCATGCAAAGGCCGTTCTGCAGGTACTTTTGGTCAGCGTCGCCTTGCGGGACACAAGAGGGCTTAGTGCTTCCAGGGCCTGTAGTGCGAGGGTTGAGGGTTCAGGGCAAGCCGCAAAACCCACAACCCCTGCAGCCGGTCGCCCGGATCTCCGCAGAGCCTGGCAGACTGGAACTTCTTCAAGTTGTCCCCTAAAACCCTAAACCCTAGACCCTAAACCCTGAACTCTAAACCCTTTTTCCCCCGAACCTATAAAACCCCTAAACCCTACAGCCCCGAACCCTAAACCCGCAAACCCAAGCTTGTCGCCCGGATCTCGTGGCTGTAGTTTCTCGCTTAGGAAGGTAGTTTCTGTTACGCCCCGACTCCGACGCCGTTTCTGTAACGCCCCGAAGCCAGTTTCCGTTACGCCCTTTCGTAGTTTCTGTGTCGTTTTCAGGGGGGCAGTTTCCGTTACAACCCGCCAATTTCCGTAACACACTTTACTCTAGCTATACCAAGGGGCTCTAGGACCACTACGCTAAAAGGGTACGACGTCGGAGCCGTGAGGTAGTTAGGTAAGGCTGTTCAGTAGCTTGGGACTGAGACAACACCTTTTGTCCGCTTACTTGTCGGGTTCGAGTTGAAGCCAAACAGTAAACAAGTGCAAAGGGGGGTTTATGGTTTAGGGTTTAGTTCTAGGTCCTAGGCTGCAGAGTCAAGCATTACGAAGTGGAGCTTGAGACAAATGAACGGAAAACATCTATACATACTTCGATCACCACTTGGGATGTTCTCCCTTGTACTAACAGCTAACATCCTTAATAAGGACTATAGTACCCCCGACTATAATCCCTGTGAAGGACTGCTAGTATAAGGGGGGAACATCTCAAATTTGCAGAGTCAAGCGTAAGATTTACTTCGGTCACCACCACAATCAAAACATGCAGCCCATGTGTGAGCCGACTCACCCTAAACCCTAAACCCTAAACCCTAAACCCTAAACCCTAAACCCTAAACCCTAAACCCTAAACCCTAAACCCTAAACCCTAAACCCTAAACCGCAAGATCTAGCGAAGCTCCATGAGCTCCGTAAGCATTAGGGGACCACACTTTGAAATGTTCACCCGAAAAACGAACAGTCCTTCATCGGGATTATAGTACTAGGCTGCCCAGTAACCTAGGCTTAAAAAGGGTACCCTTGTTTGCTTAAAGGGGTTTATAAGGGAACCTAAACCCCCCAAAAAGGGAATAAGGGTACTACTGGGCATCCTAGAGTACCTCCCCCCACCCTCTAAACCCCATTATAATCCCTATTAAGGGGCCACCGTTCCTTCTTAGACTTGAGACTTGAGACTTTAGGGTTTGGGGTTTAGGGTTTAGGGTTAAGAAATTAAGAATAACAGGAAACCAAGACAAAGAATAACAACAATGATTAGGGGTCCAAGAATCCAGATTCAAGAGTCCTGGGGATCTTGCTTCTTGACTCTGGGCGGCGCCAGGCTTTAGCCACAAAAACAAAAACACAGTAGTAATAACAACAATGATTTTTAATATTATGAGTACAATCATTAATTATGACTATTTTGTTTATAAGAATAAGAACAGCAATATAATCATACTAGTAAACTCGGTTGGCCCCGAAAACCCTCAAAAAAATGACTTGCTCCTTAGTCTTGGATGCAATGAGGAAATACTTTCTGTATCCCAAGGGCCTAGCCAAAGAACTGAACAGTTTACAACTTCAGGGCGCCAAAGGCAGAGGTAGAGGAGGCCCAAGGCAGAGAGAGTTTGAGGAGGCCTTTTCCACCAAGGGAGATACCCTAAACCCTAAACCCTAAACCCTAAACCCTAAACCCTAAACCCTAAACCCTAAACCCTAAACCCTACACGGATTATATGTATTTCGACCAAAGCGGCGTAGGCAAGGCTTGGGCCCAAGTTTTTTTTACTTGCGCGTATAGGCGGAGAGGCTTGCCTCTTATGAACATGCAAATCTTCTGAGGCGCTTTGGGTTAAAAACGTGGAGAGGCCTCTCCACAGGGTTTAGGGTTTAGGGTTTAGGGTTTAGGGTTTAGGGTTTAGGGCCGACATAGTCGTAAAATTGATGGAAAGCCTCCTTGAAGCAAGCTCGATTAGTAAGGCAGCTGCAGATTTCTCTTCAGACGTGGAAGGCCGTTTGCATGGCCGAAGGGGCAAGGGCCGAAAAAAAGAGTGAAAAAGGCTGCGAATACACACATCCATATATCCCAAAGCAACGTAACATGCCTTAGTTGTCCAGTAACCTGGGGGAATTCAGTTGTTCACCTTTGGGTTATAAGGGGATGATACTACCTCAAAAAGGTTGAAGGTTACCTACTCTACTACTAGGATGCGTATGGGCGTCTTATGCCACTGGTAGGCGTTCCGAAGGCGACCTGCGCCGAGCGAGTGATGAGGCCGCAGGGATGTTCACTGATTGGGCAGAGAGGGGCCCTTGACAAACAGGGTTTAGGGCTTAGTGTTTTACAGGGTTTTGGGCATCTTGAAACGTCTTGAGCTCAAGACGCCAAACCGAAGAGGGAATGAAGATCGAAGATTCTGGACCGATTTTTCCGGGAATCTTCAATTTTCGATCGACGACCTGGCGTCTTAAACTCGAGACGTTTCACGACGAGGGGGGGGACAATCGAAGATTCCAGGGAATTGTCTCCCGACAATCGTCGATCTCCAATCCTTGATTTGGAGTGTTGAGCGCAAGACGCTTCAAGACGAGAGCTGGAGACGTCAATCTTCGTCTGTGGACTCAGGAGTAACCTAGGAATAAAAATGGCACCCTTAGTTGGTTTAAAGGGATCTCCGATCTTCAGTTGAGGGTCTGGAAGCTCAAAACGCTCAAGGCCAGAGATCTTAGATGGTTGAAAACCATCTAAGAACATGTATCTTGGGGGGCCGGCAGGGGGGGGGGGGGACAGATTGCACAGGAACAAGTACATGCGCACAATATGCATACCTCAACCCCACCCCTAAACCCTAACTTTGGGGCTTTCGGGGCTTTCGCCCGCGGCACGCTGATGCCCATCGATGCCGTCCCGGAGTGGATGAGCAGGAGCACTAGGATCTTGCGCCAAGCCTTCTTACTGCTTAGTCGGGAATGAGGGTTGACTTGGGTACCTTCTAGAACCTCTTAAAGGGTGTATATATGTGTATATATATATATATGTATATGTGTATGTATATGTAATGTAGATGTAGATGTAGATGTAGATGTAGATGTAGATGTAGATGTAGATGTAGATGTATACTTATTCATTTACATTCGACTATATATATATATATACACATACACATATATGTACACAGGGGGATGGAAGGTGCCTACTTCCCTAATTCCCTACCAAGAACCAGGGGGCCTTTCCATGCCAACTGTGGCTCCAAAACTGCGAGACCCGGTCAGTTTGGCGACTGAGATTGTACCTGGGCTTCTAGGGTTTAGGGTTTAGGGTTTAGGGTTTAGGGTGTGGAGCTGAGGGTTCAGGGTTTTAGGGTTTAAGGTTCAGGGTTCATCTGGCTTGGTTTGTTTGTTGCAGCCGCAAATTCCAAGACCAAGGGGGTAGGGCTGGGCCGCTGGCGGCAGCTAGAATCAAGGGACTAAAGGGGGAACCTTGGGCGTTATTTTAGGGGTTATATTGGGGGCTACTGAGGTATATAGGGACCATATAAGGTAATTCCAAGGGTCCCTTCTAGGGGTCCCTCCTTGTACCCCTTAACAGAAGCAAATGTCCTTGAATTTGGTTGTACATACATACATGCTCGAACTGAAGCACTACATGGGGTAGTTCCCTGACTTAGGGTCCTTTTTTACAGGGTCCTTCTAGCAAGGATGCCGTACTATATAGGAGGCCCAGCAAGGGAACCTAAACGCTAAAAACCCTAGACCCCGGACCCCGGACCCTAAACCCTAAACCTTAAATCCACATCCCTTAGCTGGAGTAGTAAGTGGGCCTTCCCGACCTGAGCAGCCCAAGACGAAGAATTACAGGGTTTCCTACAGTCACTTCCCATGGGCGTTTAGGGTACTGTACCCTAAACCCTAAACCCCAAACCCTCAACCCAAAACCCTAGAGTTAGGGCTTAGGATTCAGGGTTTACGGTTTAGGGTGGCATATAGCACCCACCCCGAAGATTGCAGCGCACCCGGTGCAAAGCGACGTCCCCGGTCCCCTTAGAAAAAAACAAATGGTGACTGTGATATTTCCTTGGGTTTTATCTAAATGAAACCAAAAAAACTTAAGGGTGGCTATATAAACCCCAAAACCCCAAATCCTAAGCCCGAAGCCCTAAACCCTAAACCCCAAACCCCAAACCCTAAGCCCTAAACCCTATGAACTGGAGGCCGCTGGAAGAAGACCGAGGTGCAGGTTTGTCTTGCGGTCGTTTCCGCGCAAGGCCTGTCTAGGAGCTTCCCATTTCGAGCATGCGCCAGGTTTAGAGTGTGGGGTTAGGGCCGGTTAGGGTTATAGGGTTTAGGGTTTAGGGTTCAGGGTTCAGGGTTTAGGGTTTAGGTTTTAGGGTTTAGGGTACAAGGTCAATATTGACATGGCCTACGCTGCGGATCCAGGCTCCCTGGAAATCCCACACCCTGACGCCCCAAACCTGCATCGCCGATCCAGGGCATGCGCAACCCCCAAGCCCTGAACCCTAA